ATTCCTGCTTTTATCTCACAATTCTACTTAAAATGCACATGGAGTTGAAATACATCATTTGTGTGAAAAGTGAGATGGGCCATTTGGAAAATGTAATTTTAAAACAGGCAACCAGCACTAGCATGCAATCAAAGTAATGAGTTAATTTTAATTTTTTTTCTTGCTCACAGATGTCCTTGAGGGTTATAATGGGACAATTTTTGCGTATGGACAGACATCATCAGGAAAAACGCACACCATGGAGGTAAGGTTGCAGCGTGCTGTTATGTCGTCTCTGAGATGACTGAACGGAAGTGGTGCTTCCAGCAAAATGCGAGGTGCATGTGGCTTTTTGACTGGGCAGTTAGATGGTTAAGGGTTGGTTATGTTTGTGTCACAATTTTTTGTGTCTTTGAGGAGTTTTTAAAATATTGCTGAGTAATAAAGTCTCAGGAGTTCAGTATTTTAGAAAATCCTTTGTTGATAGCTCTGTCAAAATAGGAATAATAAATTCTATTTAAAATAATCATCGATAAGCTAAACAGTGGTGTGAGTATCCCTGTGGACTGCCGCCCCAATCTTACTGAGAAAGTCTGCTGTGAAAATCAGTTAGTCTAAGAAGGGCCTCTGGGGAGGTGAGTCTCTTCTGAATAAATAAAAAATGGTAGGTCAGAGGTTGAGAGAAGTTGGCTTGTGGACCAAATGCAGCCCACAGACATATTTTTGTTTGACCTGCACAGTGTTTTTTTTTGTTTGTTTGTTTGTTTTTAATTGCAGGCAGTGTTTAAAATGGGATGGTTTCAAATAATTCTAAGTGTTCAGCTTTGGTTGAAAATACTGAAGACCTAGCAACTCTGGGTGAAATTTCACCATAATATAAAGTGTAAGCTTCACTGGAGCGGTGCTCTTCAATGTCTTGTTCACCTTTTTACTCACATTGCTATTGTGTGGGACCGTGGTGGTCACCTAGGAAGGCTTCGATAAAGTATTTGTGAAAATGATAGCCTCATGGTGGCCCTGGCTGACCCACGTTTGTGGGGCTGGGCCCTCCACGCACATTGTGAGCAAGTGTTCAGCATCCTTCCCTGCAGACTTACACACCTGGCCTCTCTGTGCACTTGAGGGTGTGACACCAGCTCTAACTGTCAGCTCTGGAGCTCTGTGGCTCCAGGCTGTCTTCCAGGCAAGGTGTGCCTGCAGACAAAATTGGTCCCCTTTACCTCTTCTTTTCCTGTTTTTTTGCCATGGATCGGACTCCTATATGGCCTTTGGGGCTGGATAATTCTTCTAAAGGCTGGGCCCACCTGACAGGTGAGGAGAGGTGAAGAGCAGTTATTATAAGAAGCTACACAGAGGAAGTTTGGGGAATTCAGCTTACAAGCAGCAGGGTAAGATGAATCCTTAATCCTTCAAGCTTATGTTTTTCATTTACTGTCCCCTCTTGGGAATGTCACTGAGACGCTGCTGCAGAATCGGTTTAGCTTACGAATCATTGCTATTGAAGAAGAGATTTCAAAGGCTCAGGCTAAAATCCTCAGGGCTCTGATGTTCTGCTCACACCGATTTCAAGTGTGGGGTGTGCCTCTGGGGATTCATTCCTGTTGTGTTGACTCGCTTCCCCACCATTTTGCTGGAGACAGAGTGGTTCAGAGATTGTACGGATTAAAGGAAGCACGAGGTTTATTTGCCACCTTTTCTAGACGGAGCAGGACTGTTTCCTGACACCTGAGCCTTTCCGTCTCTCTTCTCTGCATCTCACATCCTACTGCAGTACTCCTTGGAAATGGTGGTACAGGCACGGCCGTCCCCACTCTCCGGCTCTGGCCCCTCGCCTGCCTCTCCTCCTGGGCCCCAGACCCTTAACCTTCTAGGCGCTAGAAAAGCCGCAGTGATATACATTTCCTAAGTTCCACCCACTCCAGTAACCATGGACAGAACCTTCTTCATGGTTCATAAGGCATGAGAGAGAGAGAGAGAGAGAGAGAGAGAGAGAGAGAGATTGAGAGAGAGAGAGAGAGATTGATTAAGAGATGGCTTCTCATGAGGGAATCATTCCTTAGTTCTTTGGAAAGTTACCAAACAATATACAATACGAAAAATGCAATATTTAAAATCCCCCCACATCTTACAGAAATGCCTCTACGAGTGACCTTTTAAGCTTTGGGATTAATTCGTCTTTGGGAAATACGAGGTGTTTGCTAAATGTCAGAAATTTAAATTGTAAGCTATCAAAGGAGAGACCTGTCCCCAGAGTAAAACCTTAGTTTGTGTTTTGTGTGTATGGCAGGGGTAGGTGGGTGTGAGGAGATGGCAAAGAGGTATGCCAGCTCTTTCACACTAAAATTGGAGACGTCTTATTAAATGAGGGCATCGCCAGCCCTCTGTGACTCATGGTGTCAGCCACGCAACTCCTGGAGCAGTGCTGTGGGTCCAGAGGGAACCACGGGACCTAAAGGGAATGGGATTCTGTGCGGGCCACTCTAACAGTTGCCTAAATTCTGTCTCCTTTCCATCCTTGTCAGTTTTAAAAGGTTGCTGGTAATGAGCTGCTTTTCTTTATCGTGACTTTGAAGGATCACATGCTTAGGCCCACAGGAGGAAGGAGAGGGGTGGCTGTGGGTTCTTTCCTAGCACCTTCTCACCCCCTACACACACTTCATCTGGCTCTTTCTGTTGGGTGATTTTAGGTTGGAGAAAAGGTAGGGGATATTTTAGAGGAAAACAGAGGAAAGGAGGAACCCCAAGCTGAAATCCAGAGACTGTAGGAGACCAGGAAACCCAAGATCCTGGAATGCAATTAAATTAAAAAAAACCCCGCAGGGCTCTCATCATCTGAAAGGAGGATTTTATGTACTCAGCATTACACATTGTGATCCTTTAAAGGCTTTTGCAAGGGACTGTTAACTCCCTGAATGGACAGAACTGTCACATTTAAAAGCTGTTTTTCATTTTAATCCCCTCTGTTTGGGGTCTGACATCCAATGGTGATTCCATACCTTCTCCTGAGGGGAACAAACAGATGAGCCAACATAAAATTGGAAAGATTAGCTTCTGAAAATGGCGCGTTTCAGGCGGATTTTCAGTGCAAAGAGCAAATACTTGGCAGTGTTGGTGCTAAGCTCCATAGGACCCTTGGTGCACTGGGCCCTGGCTGGGCTCTGGCGGGCAGCGCTCAGGGGAGGGTTGGAGGAGAGGTCCCAGGGTGCCGGCTGCCCGGGGAAGAGAGGGCTGGGCCTTTGTTCAGCGCGGGAGGCTGGGAAGGGCTTCTCTCGGCCCCGTGCCTCACTTTGTGGCCCTCTTCTGCACACGGATTTACATGGATGGAGACTCGCAGTGTTTTTCCTTCTGCCCAAAGGGACACCTGGAGGCCCTGGAAGGATGCAGGCTGCTCTGCTGCGAGGAGTTGCCAAGTGATTTTTAATGAGCCTGTCTGAGTGCATTGGTGCTCTTGCGCTGACAGGCCCCCTGCTCTCCCATCTTAAGTGTTTCAGGAAACTCTGTCCTGCTTGGGAGGCTGAGGCGGCCACTGGGGCTGGAACAAAGGGAGTCTTGTTCTGTGGCCAGTGGCCTGGGTCTGCTTTCTACTTTCACATGTGCTCCGAGAAGGCCACCTTCAGAAGTGGGTAAAGTTTTTGAAGAGGATTATACAGGATGCAAGCATTAAAATGTCTCTTCTTTTTGCTTTCTGGGAGAAACGAGAAGACGGAGTGGGACATTCCCCTCGAGTCCATCCCTGATGCTCCAGCCGACTAAACTCATCGTTGTTCTCTCAGTTCCTACCTCTGTTCTGTTACTCCCATCTCCTCTCCTCTGCCCACATCTTCTTTGTCCATCCTTAATCTTACTCATCCGTCAGGATTTGGTGTCTCTCAAGGAAGCCATCCATATCACCCCAGCTGGAAGGGACTTTCCTGTTCTCTGAGTTTCTATAGCTCTTTGCCTCCTGACCACCTTTTATTGCCTGAGGTGACTGTTTATTGTATGTGTACATGTGCATTTCATTTGCAAAGCAGTCAACATAGATGCAGTGAAGACCTTTCTGGAACACCTCTCTGTCTCATACACACATCCGTCCTCACCACGCACATACCCCACACCCCTCCATGCCACACACCCGCCACACATCGATAGCCCTGCACACACATCCACATGCCACTCACACCCACACATTGCACACACCACAAATACTGCAGATACACACACTGCACGAACACACAGCCACAGCACACCCAAACTACATACATCACCACCACAGAAATCCGCACTACACACACCCACATGACAGACATCCACACTATGTATGTGAACACCACACACACACACACACACACACACACACTACACACCATGTACATTAACACCACACACACACATATCACACATACACACACTACACTACACTACACACCATGTACATTAACACCACACACACACACACACACACACACAGTTGTTTTTTTTTTTTTTTTTTT